CTGGGAGTTCTTCACTGAGAATCTGTCTGACCACCCCACTTTAATGCCTTTCTCTGCTTTTTTTTTTCTATGCCGAGAATAAGGTAGAGAGGGACTAGATTTGCAATTTCATAGGTATTAGGAAAGTCCTTCCAGTGTGGGCCAGAACCTTCTCTGCAGCAGATAACCCAACAGAATTGTCTTGAGCAATGAGAGGTGAAGTAACTTTACCTAGGGTCACACAGCAGGATGGGTCAGAGGCTGAACTGGTCTTCCTGATGCTGAAGCCTACTGTCTAAACATTATATAGGTCTGCCTTCCTATAGAACAAAGGTGTTCAAGAGATGGACTTTAGCAAAAAAAAAAAAAGCTTAAGGCTAAGAAAGCCCTGTAGAGTTTCCCCCCCAAAAAAAAATTCAGCCAAATTACTTCCTCCTGATCCTTCCTGGGTCCATCATCCACTGTAGTGCCTGCCTAGGATGCGCATGCGCACTCACACACACACACACACACACAAGTGTGCGTGTGTGTGTGTGTGTGTTTGTGATCTCACCTTCCTCCCTCTTCATCCCTCTATCAGGTCTCATGGAAGAAAAAGGAAAAATTCCAGTGAAACAGGCAAACCCAGTGAATAGAGGGCTAGATTTGGAGTCAGGAAGATCTGGGTTCAACTTTTACTCTGGGGCTCACTAGCTGTGTGACCATGGGAAAAACACTTAACCCCTCTGAGCCTTGGGCAACTAAGACCATACTGTCAGTGAGGATGCAATCAGTGTTGTTAAAAGAAACTTCCACACCAAAATTACAGGCCCTTGATATATTGATGGATTAATTCAGCATGCAGCCCATCCAGAGGAAGGGCCACATCTGTCTAGTTAATATCAGCTGACATTTCCATAGTATTTCAAAGCTTACCATGCTGAAATATATCATGTCATCTAAGGGAAGTAGTGTGGCCCAGAAGAAGATGCATTGGATTTGGAATTGCAGGATTCAGATCCAGGCTCTGCCACCTATGAGCTGTGTGACCTTGCTCCAGTCACTTTTCTATCTGGCCCTCAGAGGATTGGGCTACATGGACTCAGAGATCCCTTCCAGCTCCAAATCTGGGATCCTGCCATCCTCATTTGAATTTGACAGTAGCCATGTACAAGGACTCATCATACAGTGGAGTAGAAACAGAGGCTCAGAGAATGAAGGGGACTTGGAGTCAGGAAAACCTGGCCAGGTTTGGAATCCACCTCTCACAACACTAGACATAATCACATCTATTATTTCTATTGTAGGGAATAGGAAATTGAGGCTCAGACATGGAAAAACTGGTCTGTGGGAACTGAGATACGTATAGGCTATTGGTGGTCACATCAGTATGGGCATTCCTTTCAGCAATGCACACAACAGCCCAACCACTCTTGGCCATGTTCTCCCATAAGATTGCCCACGGGTCCATCCAAGGTGCTGGAAGCCTTCCTCTGGTCCTCTTGACATGGCAAAGAAGGCAGAGGAGTGCATGGGAGTTACCTCTCACTTTTGGCACATGACCAACAGCCCATTTTTTTCATTCAGCCATTTATTTGGTGGTATCCTTCATAATCTCTTCTTTATGATGCGTCATGGCCATCTCACATACACTATTGGCCTCTCTGCTGCCCTCTGACTCATCCCCTTGTTCATTATTATTATCATTGTTCATGATACACCCACACATACCCACAATACATTTTTAAATTTAATCTGCATTATTAACATTTTTTCCTGCACTTTCTTAAGTCTAGACAATCAACAGAACAATAAATCAAGCCTTGGTTTGTAGCATTTGCCAGTTTCTGAGGTGTAAATACTCACACTGAAAATTTAACAGTCGGCTCTCTCATGAGCCAGTCTGAGCTGGCTCCAGCACAGCCCTGCTTGCAACCCATGGTTACACACCTAGTGATGTTACAAGGGGGCCCAGCACACCCATGCTTGCAACCCATGGTTACACACCTACTGATGTTACAAGGGGGCCCAGCACACCCCTGCTTACAACCCATGGTTACACACCTACTGATGTTAGAAGGGGGCCATGAACCCAGGGCTTCCTCACTCCAGATTCCTTCACTTCTCTGAACCTGTTTCTACTCCATTATGCTGAGGGTTGAATGTTTTTTTAAACCTTACACTGAGACTGGAACTTTCCCTCTAAGAGCACCACCAGATCACAGATCTAGATCTGGAAGGGACCTAAGAAATTATCTAATCTTGTTCCCTCATTGGACAGATAAGAAAGCTGAATCACAGAGGGGTTGCGTGTACTCAGAGTCACACAGCTATTAGGTGGCAGAGCCCAGTTTCCAATTCAGGATCTCTGATACCAGGATTGTTTCCACTGGACCATGCTGTTGCCTCAGCCATCCTCTCTCTCTCTCTCTCACATTCCTGTGCCCATTTTCCCAAGGAGGCAGCCAAGCTGAGAGAAATGTGATGACACACAGTGAATCAAGGACAAATCTTTTCTGAGTTTTCCCCCATAGGACTGGGGTCTTCTGGAGGTCAGGGCTACATTGGTTTTGCTCTTTGCTTTCTTCTCCCATGTGAATCCAAGCTGCTTCTTTGTACCCTTCCCCCTTCTCTCCCTAGCAATCTCCCTCCTCCACCCTGCCTGCTGCCCCTGCCAGGTGCTCAGTACAGCTGTGGGGCCTGGCTGTTTCACCGAGGGGTCCATAATGACAGCTCCTCCTCACCTGGCCCAGCCTGGCCTCATGGGCCCACCCTCTCCCCAAGATGTGAGCTCTCTAGAGCCCCACATCTTTCCCACATACCCCCACTAGCACCAGACTCCCAGAGCATATGTAGCTCCCCATTCTCCTTCCTCCTGCCCTCCCCCACCATGCCGTCCTCATCCTCACTCTGGCTCCCCAAACCCTCATCCCCCCCCCCAGCAGAGGGAGTGTAAGCAGCAGGTGTTGACGCTAATCAGCATTCACAGCCGAGAACTGCATTAGCTCCTGGGCTCACACACTCCCCAAAATTAAACACTCATTATACAAAATTAATTGACATTAATTAGCAAAAATTAAAACTTTAAATGCTGTGCAACGCGCTTTTTGCGGGGAGGAAGGAAAGGAGCAAGACCACTTAGTGTCTTTCTCTGGCCACCCCTCCATCATCCTCTCTTCTCCCTGCATTTTTATTCCCAAGCAGGTCGTGGGGAGCCCAGCAGCCCAGCTAGTCTGGGTAGCTCCCCAGATGAGGCCTGCTCTGCCCAGGTGGGGCAGACGCTGCCCCATGAAGCAGATGGTGGTCCTTTCAGGACGTTTCACAGCTGACAATCTAGGAAGCCTCTCAGTCCGCCTAGCCCGCCGCCCCTCCCCTTCCACACCCCAACCCCCCATTTCCAGAAGCAAAGATATCTAATTAAGGGATTGGGCGCCATGGGTCTCAGCTGCTCAGACCCCTCTATGCTCTGGGGCTATGCTGGGGAGCAGATCCCAGCACCTGGTGGCACCTAGTAGGTACTTAATCAATGATTGTTAATCAATCGATCACGAGTGATGGAAACCAGGACCAGCCAGCAGCAAGGTTATGATGCCAGCCGATTCTGTCCCCAGCAGTGCCCTTACTTCCTCTGTGCCCTCCTCTCCAGGGGTCTCATGCCCATATGCTGCTGTCTTGTCACAGAGGAAAGTGGGGTGGATTTGGAGGCCCCGACCTGGCTTTTGCTACTTCCTCACATGTGTGACCCTGGGCAAGTGATTTCTCCTCTCCTGGGAAAGTAACTCATTACCTATAAAATGAGCAATTTGCCCTGGATGACCTCCAAGGTCCCCACGTAGTCTAAGGTAGAATTCTTTGATTAATAATAAGTATTATTGTCATAACAACAATTATAGCTAAGGAATATCAAATGAAAGTCTATTTGAAAAATGTTTGCAAATTTCAAAATACTTTATAAATGTTCACGGTTGATAGACTCATTCACACTCACTGAGGGTTGCATATGTACGGGGGGGGGGGGGGGAAGAGGGGGACAGGAAGTGTGTATTCAAAAGAAGACCCTGGAAAGAATGGTGTGTACAGTGTAGGACCCAGGTGAGGAGCTGCTGATAGGGGAATTACAATGAGTGCAGAAAGGAAGCCTTCCTTTCTAGGGCCCCTGAACTCATGCTGGGAAGGTGGCTTCCTACCCTGTCTATGTCCAGGGAAGATCCTGGCAGTAGCTGGCATGCAGCCCTCAGACCTGCTGTCCCTTCTCTCAACAGGATAATGTTTTTGTCTCCCTTGCTCAAAGGGAACAAAATTCTGCAGTCAGCATTTATTAAGCCCTTACTATGTACCAGGCCCTGTGCTAAGTGCTGCAGATTCAAAGAAAAGCAAAACACAGTCCCTGCTCTCAAGGAATCACAGTCTGATGGAAGAGACAATATGCCAACAACGATGAACACCTACATCCCCGCTCCCCTGAGCACCACCTTAGAACCTAGGCTCAGGTGTTAATTTAAGTTGTCAGCAGACATGTGCAGGACAGAGCTTGGTTGGTTTGGGGACAGGTAGGACACTCCTCTGATAATCTGAAGAGGGCAGGAGCCACATTAACCTGTGGCAGAGACAGACTGAGTTGTTCCTTGAAGAAAGCTAGGGATTCTAAAGGGCAGAGGTGAGGAGGGAGGGCATTCTAGGTATGGGGTATGGAGGCAAGAAATGACATTTCAAGTTTGAGTAGCAACAAGCAGTCTGGTTTAGATGAAATTCAGAGTGCATGGTGGGGTGTAATGTCGACTAGATAAGCCTGGCTAATAATAATAATAATAATAATAATAATAATAATAATTAATAATAATAAAACAGGCTAAGAACCTGTTTGTGGAAAGCTTTACATGCCAAGCAAGGGAATTAATCTCCCCAATTCCCCAAAGGCCTCTATGTCTCGGAGAGGATGGTAGGTAGGGTTGCAATGGAGCTGGCTTCTGGTTATCATGTCCCCTTTTACTCACCCTCTCTTCTCCCCTAACTACTTCTCTTCTCTGCTTTCCCCTACCCAGCAAGTGCCAATATCTGCAACGTGGTCCTGATGAGGCACAATGAATTGGAGGAAGGAATTGATGTCCTGGACGGTGATGGCAACATCGTGGGCTCCTCAAGAATTGCAGCCAGACATGTGAGTCTGGGCCCTGGGGCCAGGGGGTGGAGAACGGGCAGGGAACTAGCCTCTGATCGCTTTCATTCGTCTTTTTTTTTAATCAGTCAGCAGTCATTTATTAGGTACCTGCTGTGTGCCAGGCCCTGGGTTAACAGTCCTGAAAAAGCAAAAATTAGTCCCTGCCCTCCAGAAGCTTACATTCTAATGGGTGAGACAACATACAAATATCCAAGCACATACAAGACACGTAAGGGAAAAGGGTCCCTAGGCCTGAGTTCTGATTCTTCCACTTATTTCCCAGGTGACCTGGAGCAAGTCATTTACCTTTGGGCTTCCCTTGGTTTCTCTGTAAAATGGGAGAGTTGGATTCAATGATCTGTTAGGTGTCTAGCAGAGACCTTTTCCTGGGATCCTGAGGGCAGGCACATTTTAAAAGGAGATGGCAGAGCACAGGACACTGTGAAAGGAGTGAAGGATGTTGGGGGAGGGGGTCCTGGTCACTCAGGTCACTGCCCACCTGGCAAGAGAAGTGGTGAAAACAAGAGGTGAAAGTCGTGCAGAGAAGCTTTGCCTTGTTTCGCTTTGCCTTGCCTGAGATCCAGGTGTGAGGGAGAAGGAGCTTTGTACTCCCACCTCTTTCCTTGTTTTTCAATTATCAAACATTCCTCTTTCACCTGCCACTGATGTCTTTCATTCTTAATTCAGTTAGACAGTTATTAAGCATCTAATGTGCTGATCCTGGGAGTATAAAGACAGAATCAAAACACCCCAGCCCTCAAAGGGCCTCAGTTCTCCTGGAATGAGCTTTATCCCTATCTCTTCATGCACAGCAGTCCTGCCAGTGATTAAAATGCTCTCATCCTTCTTTCTTCAGGTCCTTCTGCTCACACTTGCTCTCTGCTCACCCCAGGCCACTCCCTAGATCATCTAACCCTTGACAAAACTGGGAGGTAGAGGAAGGCAATATGCCTCAGCTTGGCTGCTGCTTACTCTGATGCCTGCTCCCTACCCCCACATACTGACCCACAGATGTTAGGTACAGTGGGGAAAAAAATTGAAATCTGGAGTCCAAGGCTCTGGGTTCGAATCTTGGCTCTGCTACTTCCTGGCTGCAGTCACTTTGCCATTCTGGGCCTCTGTTTCCTCAATTGTAGAATGAAAGCATCGGACTAAGTGAACTCAAAGGTCCCTTTCATGTCTAAATCTATGCTCCTATGACCCTGGCCTGTCCTCACTGTGCCATGCCCAATCCTTTAGACCAGAGATTCTTAACCTCCTTCATGTCACAGCCACGTTTGACAGTGTAGAGTGAAGCCAATAGACTCCTTCTCAAAATGAATATAGATCAGTTCTTTTCTCTTTTCTTTGATCTCTTTGGGATATGAACCTAGTAGTGGTATTGCTGGATCAAAGGGCATGCTCAGTTTTATAGCCCTTTGGGCAAAGCTCCAAATTGTTCTCCAGAATGGTTAAATCAGTTCACAACTCCACCAACGGTGCATTAGTGTCTTTATTTTTCCACATCCCCCTCCAGCATTTTTTATTTTTCTTTTCTGTCATGTTAGCCAATCTGATAGGTATAAGGTGGTAGCTAAGAGTTGATTTAATGTTCATTACTCTAATCAGTAGTAACTTAGAGCATTTTTTCATGTGGCTGTTAATAGCTTTGATTTCTCCTTCTGAAAACTGTTCATATCCTTTGGCCATTTATTAACTGGAGAATGGCTCTTATTTTTATAAATTTGGCTCAGTTCCCTATATATTTGAGAAACGAGGCCTGTAGAAGAGAAACTTGCTGTAAAAGTTTTTTCTTCCAACATTCCTGTTCTCCTTCCAATGTTAGCTGCATTAGTTTTGTTTATGCAAAAGCTTTTTAATTTCATGTGATCAAAATTATCTACTTTACTTCCTGTGACCCTCTCTATCTATTGTTTGATCATAAACTTTTGCCCTATCCGTAGACCTGACAGGAAAATTTTTCCATGCTTCCCTAATTTACTTGTGATATCACCCTTTATACCTAAATCATTTATCCACTTTGACCTTATCTTGGTATATGGTGTGAGATGTTGGTCTGTGCCTAGTTTCTGCCAAACTGCTTTCCAGTTTTCTCAGCAATTTTTGTCAAATGATGAGTTCTTGTCCCCAAAGCTTGGTGCTTTGGGTTTATCAAACACTAGATTACTGCGGTCATTTACTTCTGGGTATTGTGTACCTAACCTACTCCACTGATCCACCACTCTATTTCTGAGCCAGTATCAAGTAGTTTTGACGATTGCTGCTTTATAATACAATTTAAGATCTGGAACGGCTAGACCATCTTCCCTAGCTTTTCTCTTCCTTAGATCCCTTGATATTCTGGACCTCTTGTTCTTTCAGATGAATTTTATTATTTTTTCTAGCTCTATAAAATAATTCTTTGGTAGTGTGATTGGTATAGCTTATATAACTTCCCAAAAAAGTAGGTTAACCTAGGCAGAATTGCAGCAAGCATTTGTTAAGTGCTTAGAATGTGCCAGGCACTGTGCTAATTGCTGGGAATACAGAGAAAGGATAAACACAAAACAGTCTCTGTCTTCAAGGAGCTGACATACTCATTTTGGAGACAACATGTAAGTGAATAGTTACATGGATAGTACATACTGAGAAGGAAAGTTTCCTCAGAAGGGAAGGCTTAGGAGGCTGGGAGGCCTGGGGAGGCCTCATAGATAAAAGCCAGAAGGGGTCTCAGAGGCCATTTACCCAGAGACATTGATGAGAAGGACTAGAGGCACTTGAAAGGGGTGGGCAGGGCATTCCAGCCATGGAGGATGGCTTGTTGGAAGGCAGATGGAATGTTCAGTTCACTGAATAGCAGGTAGCCCAATGTGGCTAGAGCACCCAGCACAGGAAAAGGATGAGGACTGAAAAGGTAAGTCAGAACCCACTGTGAGTGGCCTTAAACATTTGCACAAAGAAGTTGTGTTTTATCCTGGAGGCAATAGGAAGCCAGGAGGAGATAGTAACAGGACCAAATTTGTCTTAGAAATGGATTTTGACATTCATGTAGAGATTGGACTGGAGTAGAGAGAGAGATTAGAAGTCGCAAAATCAATTGGGAGGCAATTGCAATATCCCAGTCTGGACTAGGGTAATATTCATGTGAATTGAAAGAAGGGTATGGAGCCGAGAGACATTGTGGGAAGTAGGATTGACAAGGTTTGCAACTGAGTGGGGAAGGGTGAGCAAAGAGTTAAGCATGCCATTGAGGTCGTGGGCCTGGGCAACTGGAAGGGTGGTGGTGACCCCAGTGGAAAGTGAGCAGAATGGCAGATGAGGAGGAAGAAGGAACTCTCCTTTGGACATGTGTTTGCTATGCCAATGGGATAGTCAAGCAGAGATGCCCAGCAGATAAGGACTTGGCACTGGCCCCACTAAGGAGAGAATTTCAGGCTGGTGATAAAGATTTGTGAGGCCATTGTGCAGAGGTGGTCCTTGAATTCCTGGAAGCTGTTGAGAAACAATAAGGGACAGAAGAGGGCCCAGGACAATCCATCTACCAACAAGCATTTATTAAGTGCCATTATGTGCCAGGCAGTGTGCTAAGTGCTGGGGATGCAATGGCAAAAATAAAACAGTTCTTGCCTGCTTGCCCTCCGGAGGTTTCCATTTTTACAGGAAAACATGGACATATATCAGTAAAAACAACATAAATTCCAAATAGATAAAGGTAGCTAAGGACCAAGCAGTCAGGGAAGAGAGGGTGCTAGCAGGTTGGGGTGGGGGGAGATCAGGAAAGGCTTCAGGGAGAAGATAGGGATGGAGCTGGGTCTTGAAGGAAGTGAGGGCTTCTCTGAGGCAGGGGTGAGGCAGGAGCATGTTCCAGGCATGGGACACAGCCTCTACAAAGACACGGAGGCAGGAAAGGAGTGCCATACGTGTGGTACAGAGATAAGGCCACTTTGGCTGCACTGGCAAGAGGAAGTTGGCAAAGCTTAGTGGGGCCAGTTGGGGAAGGGCCTGAAAGGCCAAATGGAGGGGTTTACATTTTCTCTTAGAAGTAAAAGAATGGAGTCCTAGGGGACATCCACGCTAGGAGGGCAGGGCAGGGATAATGGTCCAGCCAAAGGAACCGAATGGGTCGTACAGACAGGAAGAGCACCAGAAGAGCAGTGTCGTTTCAACCGAAGGAGAAGAGGTTGTCTAGATGGGAGGGGGAGGTTACCTATGTCAACTGAGAAAAAGCCATTGGGTTTGGCCATTAGGAGATCACTGCCTTCCATCTTGTGTGCCTGCACAAAAGGATGTATAGTGGTACTGAAGGAATGAGAACCAGAGAGCCTCTCATAGCCATCCTGTTCTACTAGAGGCAGTGTGGTATAGTGGCTAGGTCACTGGACTTGGAGTCAGAAAGATATGGGTTCAGATCCCATCTCAGATACCTTCCTGCCCTGCTTAATAGTATTTTATTTTTTCCATCTCAGACACTTACTAGCTGTGTGACCTCGAGCAAGTCACTTACCCTGTATGCCTTTGTTTCTTCATCTGTAAAATGACTCAGTGACTTCTAGGGTCTCTCCCATCTCTGATCCTATAAACTCCCTCATTGTACTGATGAAGAAACTGAGGCCCAGGGCAATGAAGGGATTTGCCCAATCACATAGGTAGTTGGGATTTGAACCCAGAACCCTTGACTCCAGAGCATGGTCTGGCCACTAAACTATGGGATATTCTCAACAACAGTTGCTTTCTCATGTCCTTTTTGCAGCTAGTTGGGGAAAGCAAGCACAGGGGTGATCCCAAAGAACACATGACCTCCAAAAGCATCTAGAATGTAGAACAAAATGATTTGGTGTCAAGAGTCCTTCTGCACACTCTGTGGCCCAGACTGAGTCTGTCTTCCCAGAACTCACCAGGAGGGCCCTGTGAGCTTCTGCGGAAGCTAGGCTGGGGTGAAACCAATTAGCCTACCTGAGGGTGTGGAGCAGGGGTTTTAGCTGGAGCTGCTGAAGAAGGCAAGTGATAGATTCTACCCAAATGCCAGGACCCAGAGCGACAGGTCAGAGTGAGAACTCAGGATCTCCAAAGCAAGGCTCTTCCGGGGAAATCTCTGCTGTATTGTGAGGGGTTTGTTGTCTTACGGTTCCAAATACCTGGCACCATCATTAAAAAGTCAAATGCTCCCACTCCCAAAAGGGACCTTGACCTAATCCACTGAGATCCCCAGGAGGCCAGCGGGAGACTTTGTTTCTGTCTCCTCTCTCCAAGTCACTCCATCACCCTCACCTTGCCAAGCAAGCCCCAGCTGTTTTTTCTCCCTGTTCCTTCCAACACCTGCTTTTTGCTTCTTTCTTTTTTTTTCTTTTAAGCATCTAAACTCTGCCATATGCTCATTTCCCCCTCCCTCCACCCCCTGGCGGTGTGACAGCAGCGTCCTTGTCTCCTCGGTCTCTGTCCTCACTCTTTCTCTGGATCTCAGGCAGCTTGTCACAGGGAGAAGGAGGGGGCCATTCCAGACCCCACCCCACCCCCAACATGCACACACATATACACATGCCCTCAAACTCCCAGAGCTGGTTCAGAATGGTTAATTAAGGTGTCTACACTGGCTTCCACACTTGCTAAACGTCCCTGGCGGGAGTCTGCAGTCGAGGAATTTGGGTGTCTGGTACTAATGTATTTCCATTTCAAAGCATTGTTCCAGCTGATTTGAATCTGCTCTTTAAAAAACACGTACAGTAAGAGTGTGTGTGTTGGGGGTGGGGAAGGTTTTTTTTTTCAAAAGAACCACTTTCTAATAGATTCTATGCATAATGTTAACATAGTCTTGAGTGCCTTCCCTCCAAGATTATCTCCAATTTATCCCGTATATATTTTGTTTGTACATACATAGCTGCTTGCATGTTCTCTCCCCCATTAGACTGAACTCCTTGAAGGCAAGGACTACTGGGTTTAAGGAGTATTTTTTGCCTTTCTTTGTAACCCCAGTGCTTAGCACAGTGCCTGGCATATAGTAGGCACTTAATAAATGCTTGTTGACTTGACATGGATTGCCTTGAAGCCAGATCTACACACACACACACACACACACACACACACACACACACACACACACATGCACACACATGCACAAATAGCAGGAACTCCCATCTCTACTTCATTTGAAGCAGAGCCATAACTAGGGCAAGGTAACTGGAACTTTGTTCCAAAGCACCAAAATTTAGAAGACATTGAAAGTATTTCCTCTACCTAACTACTTCAGACAATCTCCCCAACCACTACCTCTACCACAACTATTCACCCATGATAATAATTCCTAATTATGACATTGGCTTTACATTTTACAAAGGGCTTTCTCTAGTGACACCCTATGATACAGGCAGTTTAAAGATTATCCCCATTTTGCAGATGAGAAAACTGAGGCCCAGAAATGAATGTACCTTGTTCAGATGGTGATTCTCTAGACCAGGAGTCTTGAGGCCACATGTGGCCCTTTAGGTCCTATGACTGAGTCCCAGCTTCACAGAACAAATTCCCTTCTGCAAAACCTGGCCTCAGGCAAAAGGCTGCACCCAAAGACCTAGAAGGCCACAGGTTCTCCACCCCTGTTCTAGATCACCAGCTGCCCTAAGCAGATCCAAATTAGCATGGTTTTGTAGGGATGATGAGGAAAGGGAGATTTGGTGTGGAAGGGTTGCCCTGGGACCCCAGCCCAGACAGACAAGCTCACCTAACCCTTTTGCTTGGCCCCCCAGGCACTGATCGAGACGGCCCTGACTCGAGTGGTCCTCCCCATGCCCATCCTGGTTCTACCTCCAATCATCATGTCTGTGCTGGAAAAGTAAGTCTGGAGGGTGGGAGGGGGCCAGGGCAGCCGTGCCCCGGATAAAGGCAGGAAGAAAGGAAGGGCCAGTGTGGTCTGGCGGGCAGAGAGCTGGCCCAGAATCATTTCAAGGCCCACTTCTACCATCTGTGTGACCCTGGGCATTTCAATTCCTCGATCTTTCAGGCAACTCATTAAAGTCTAAAAGCAGAAAAGATGCTAACCTACAATAGTGGAGGAAGATTCTTCACTGGGAGTTCCTTAAACTAATGAAATCAGAGGCTAAAACCAAAAAGAGAAAGGAAGGCAAGATCGGGGGTTGGCCCTGGGAGCTCCTGCCTTGGGGGCAGGGCCTGTTTTGTGGCTTCCAGGCATGAAGCAAGCGTTTCATCAATGCTTGTTACAGACTACCACGACTCATTTCAATCCCACACACATGACAAAAAGTGCCTGTTATGTCAACAAGCATTTATTAATACCAGGCACTGGGATTAGGGACAAAGGAAAACCATCTCCTGCCCTCAAAGAGCTTACATTCTACTGGGGGGAGGGGAGAAGGCAGTGAGGATACGTCATGTGCTCTGGTAAGCATAGAACTGGGATGAACTCAGTGTATTTGGGAGACAAGTCATCAAAGACAACTCAGCAGGAGAGAGGGCAAGTGTTAGGAAATAAGATTGGAGAGTGAGGCCTTGAAGGCCAGACTAAAAATCATTTATATGAATCATGTGAGCCATAGGGAATCCTTATATAGATTCTTAGGAGGGAGGCAGGATTCTGGGTGACATGATGAAAGCATTACTTCGGGGAGACTGACCTGGAGATGGTGTGCAAGATGGATCAGAGGGGAGAGGGGCTGGAGGCCCCTACAGACGTGATCTGTGTGTGAGAGAATCCTTCCCCCTGGTCTGAGGTGTGGCAGATGTACTTATTAAGCACTTACTGTATGCCAGGCACCATGCTAAGCACTGGATATACAAATATGAAAAAAGAAAGGCAGTCCCTGCTCTCAGGGAGCTTATAATCTAATGGGGGAAGGAAGCTGAAAAGTTGGGAGAGGGGAGACAGTGTGAGGTACCTGACATGGAGGCATGATGGGAAATCAGCCAGAAAAGTCCCAAAGCAGAGCAGCAGTGCAGAGAAATGAGGCTCACACAGCTGGTAAGAGTCTAAGGTTGGATTTGAACTCAGGTCTCCCTGACTCTAGGTGTATCAGTCTACCCACTGGTCCCCCTAGCTGCCTCTGAGCAGTTTAGTGGGATATGAAGAAAATTTTATCTAGAATCCAAAGCCCAGGTATGCTACAGATGCCCCTGGTTAAGTATTCCTCTCTGGGTCTCAGTTTCCTCCTCTTAAAACAAAGGTCTCTTTCAAGACTCTGTTGGATTATCCCAAGTCCATTAGACTTTCAGAAGGTCAGTCACTTGGGTCAGGTAAAAGAACAAAAGGTCATAGGGTCATAAATCTAGTGGTAAAGCAATTTGTCCAAAATTACATACTTAGTAAGATTTGGGGCTGAGATTAGAACCCAAGTCTCCAGTTCCCCAAGTCGGTGTTCCACCTTAGGCCCCTGGGGTCGGCCTTGAAACCAGCAGGCCTGTGCTAGGGCAGGACCAGCCTTCCCTGCAGGGCAGCTTGTCCCAGCCCCCCTGGTCCCTCGGGCCTGGGCAGTTACCAAAGTTATTTGCCTCCATGCAGACACACAGGACGAGGTGCTCACCTTCCCGCCTAAATTTCCTCCATGCTCCTGCTTACATGTAGGCCAAAGTGGGGTCCCGAAGGTTCTGGTCCCTGGGTGCGGAGGAGGCCAGCCCTTCATTCTCCGGGTCTCCAGGCAGGGTTCTGAGGCAGCTCCTCAGGCCCAGGAGCTGGGTCTTGCTTCTCTTCCCTGCACGTCTCACATCTCTCCATCTGCATATTTTAACTTGCCCAGCTGCCTTCCTCATCTCTCATGCCATTTTTTTCTGGCTCTCCTGGCATCTCTCCTCTCCTCCTGCTGTGGGTTTTAACTCTGGGCCTGCCTTCTTGGCTGTTCAGAGAGAACTGGCTTCTCCCCATCACCCCCACCCCCAGCTTCTGTATTCCCCCTCCCCCAGAGCTGTCCAGGCTGCAGTACCTGTTGGTGGAGGTGGTAGCAGAGGAGGTGAGAGCAGGCCCGGGCTCACCCAGCGACACCATTCCCTTCCTTACACAGCAAACTACCAGTCTTGTGGCTTGGAGGTTGTTGGACCAGTCCTTTGGAGCATCATAGGGTCATGTTGTAGAGCTAGACAGGACCTCAGAGGCCATCTGTCTACACCCCTCATTTACAGGTGAGGAAACTGAGGCCCAGGAGGATTCAGTCCAATTCATACAATTAATATGCATCACCTGTGGGATCAGAACCCAGGTTCTCTGACTCTAGGCAGTGCTGCCTCCCTTCAGGGTTTAGGTCCTCACCCCATCCGCATCCTCTCAGTTAGACCCCACTGGGAAAGGGAGGAGGGGGCAAGTCCCCAGCAATTCAATTCGGTTCAGTTCAACTCTACAAGGCTTCCTCTGCCCCAGGCTCTGTTCTGGGAGCTGGGGACATACAGACAAAAATGAGGACCTTGGGAACCATCTAACCCAACTCCATCATTGTACAGATAAGCAAACTGAGACCCAAATCAAGTGACTTGCTCAAGGTCATGCAGATAATAAGGTCGGAGGCAGGATTAGAACCTGAGCCTTCTGACTCCAAATCGAGCTCTCCTCATGGCTCTTGAGTTTGCCAGGAGGATACAATGTGTCCATTTAGAAGTAATGTTAAAGTTAAATACAAAGTAATTGAGGATGCAGGAAGCACTAATGGGTAATCAGGCCAGGTTTCTTGTAGGAGGGGTCCGGGTATCTGGGACTTGGGAAGTGACATCATATTTCTTCCCTCCCAACTCTTAACCTGTACCTCCCTCTTCTCAGTAACTCCTGGCAGCTCAGGACACCCAAGAGGAGAGTCTGAGGTGGAAGGAGGCCATGGCTTTAGGGACCACTGATAGGAAAGTCCTCAGTCTTGTCCTGACCATCTGTCAAGGAGAGGGCAGGGTCAGCGAGGCGTCCCCAAAGATTTCCCCTCCCACTGTTGCTCAGTCCCTTATTCTCCTCCGAGGTTCTAGCACCCAGTCCAGATCCCCATGGCTGTTACTTACCAGCCACCAAGACACGTCCTTCTTTCCTTGAGTTCAGTGCCAGGACTCCCAATCTTTTTCTCCTCGCCAATTTCTGCCCTGATACTAGGGGACAGCAGCATACATATTGGTGTTGCCTCAAATGGCCTAACTCCCCAGTTCCTCAATCTACCTGTTTCTCATGGCCAGTAGTACTTTGCTGCACTTTGACCTTATGTAGAGGTGGTTATACCCTTGATCTGGTCACCCACCACTCTTCCATTTCCGTGTTTATGAACTCTGAAATCCCTTTATCTGATTCCATCTTTCCCTCTCCCGTATAACCCCCCATCACTGTTCTTCAGTCATACCATGACCTCCATTGCCTTCACCCCTGAATCCTTTCCTGGACCCTATTCCCCAAGTTCATACTAGCTACACTCTTCTCCCTTCCCTCCTCTAAACCTCTGGTGGTCCAGTTCAACTCCATTCCTTGTCTTAGCACCAAGAAGGCCTGGCCAAACCTCAGCCCTGGGTTACTGCCCTCATCACCCTCTTTCATTCCTATTCATGTGCTGCTCAACAGAGCTGGAGAAAACTGCAAAATTATACTGAATCCACCACAAATTAATGTTCCCTCATCTCAGCTGGGTTCTTGCTCCCAGAAGGCAATCCTTCAACTCCTCCCAAATGGATTAGCTAGCAGACTGTCTCCAGTGGCTCTTCCACATTCTCATCTCTCCTGTCCCATGACACCCCCCTGTCTGCTCTCAGATGCTCTCAGCTGCTTCATATTTCATTGAACAAAATGGAGACCATTGACAGAGAGCTTCTCCTCCTGTCCTGCTCAGCTCAATGCTCAGCTGTCTTCCCTTGTTCCTTCCTCCTTCACCCTGAAGGAATGGCCCTTCTCCTTGCCAAGGCCAACCCTTCTTCGAGCACAAGTGGTCCCATCACACCCTATCCTCTCCAGAGGATTGCTCTTACTGTCATCTCTACTCTCTTATTTTCAGTCTCTCCCTGTTTACTCCCCCATCCTTAAAAACTCTCACTACATCCTACCTGGGCAGGTAGGTGGTACAGTCTACCAAGCCTGGAGTCAGGAAGACCTGAGTTCAAATCTGGCTTCAGCCAACACTTACCTAGGCAAGTCACTTACCTCTATTTACCTCAGTTTACTCATATGTAAAATAAGTTAGAGAAGGAAATGGAAAACTGCCCCAGTAACTTTGCCAAGAAAACCCCAAATGGGGTCACAAAGAGTCAGACATGACTGAAAAATGACTGAACAACAACAGATCCTACTGTCTCTGCTCTTGCCCTATACCTCTCCTCTCCTTCTCAGCTTATCTCCTTGAAAAACATCTACGTTTGGTGTCTCCACTCCCCCCCCTTCTCAACCCTCTGTGCCCTTTGTCTTCCAACCTCATCATTCCATTAAAACTGTCTTCTCCAGAGCTACAATGATCCCTTAACTGCCTCATCTAATGGTCTTTTCTGGGTCTTCATCCTGACCTTTCTGCAGTCTTTGATACCGTTGACCGGCCTCAATTCTAGGATATTTTCTCCCTGCTAGGTTTCATGACACTCTTCTCTTCTGCCAGTTGGATGTTTCTTTCTCAGTCTCCTTTGCTGGATCTTCCTTCAGATAATTCCCACAACTTTCTAAGGCTCTGTCCCAAGTCCTTTTCTAGTCATAGACTCACTTAGCAATCTCATCACCTCCCATGGGTTCCACGATCATCTCTATGAAGATGATTCTCAGGTCTGAGTGTCTAGTACCTTTCATGACCTCTGATTTTGCATCATCAACTGCCTTCTGGGCATTCCACAGGCACCTCAAATTCAATGTGTCCAAAACAGAATTCATTACCTCTTCCCACCTCTGCCCCC